ATATGAGATTACAGAAAGGCCGTGAAGAGGATATCATAGGGTGTTCGAAATGAGAGAGTTCGGGAGGGCATACGGTTTATCAAGTATGCAGCGGTGAGAATAGCCTCTCCTCAAAGAAATTTTGAAATGTGGGTAGTGAACATGATGGATCGAGCTACTTCAAGAATGTATCTATTTTTCGTTCAGCTATGCCATTTTATTGTGAAGTATTGACACAAGAACTTTGATGGATAATGTCGTGATCAGAAAAATATTGGCTCATAGTGGTTTCAAAGTATTCAAACCCATTATCAGACCTCACTACTTGGATGTTGGTGTGAAATTGATTTTAAATCATAATGTGAAATTTTTTAAAGATTTGGTCAACTTCAGATTTTTCTTTCATGAGAAAAATTCAGATAATTCTAGTGTGATCATCAACAAAAGATACAAACTATTTTATTCCGATAATATTAGTGACCCAAGAGGGACCCCATACATCAATATGAATTAATGAAAAAGATTTTGTAGGTTTGTAAACTGAACTGAGAAATGAATTTTGAATATATTTGAACAGTTGACATACTTTACATTGAAATGAAGTTGGATTTTTATTTCGAAATAAAGCAGGAAATAACTTTTTCAAGTATACGAAGTTAGAATGTCCTAAACGGTAATGCCATAACATGATAGGGCATTCCATATTTAAGTTGTTTACAGATTCAGAATTTGTACATACTGCATGATGAGTTTGTCTATTAAGAGAAGAGTTGTCAGCTTGCAGTAGATAAAGACCCGAATCCATATTAGCATTACCAATCGTTTTTCCCGAGTACAAGTCCTAAAATTCACACAGTTTAAAGTTAAATGTAGCCACACAATTCAAGTCATGTGATAATTTACTTACTGACAGGAGATTACACTCCAAATTTGGAACATATAGCATAGAGTACAAAATTAACTTGGGTGTCAGTGCACTTATTCTTGTTCCTTCGACCTGGGAGCTAGAGCCATCAACAATTTTAACTGAAAATTTATTTCTGCATTTAATATATTCCTTAAATAGTGAGATATCCCTGATCATATGAAGCACCTGAGTCAATAATCCATATTCCCCTTTTTATGGAATAAGTTGAGAAACCAGAAAAATTACTTTTGTGAGCTGCAGAAGCATTACTGAGAACCATATTGGGTGAAAACTTTTTTTGGAGGAGGTTGATTTGTTCAGGACTAAATAAGAAGCTTTCCGTAGAAACAGCTGCAGTGGATTCCTCCTCTGTTGAGACAAAATTGCCCCGATGAATTTCTGCTTTGGTGTTTTCTTCTTCTCAGCCGATTCCTTCTCAGTTGGTTTCTCGTGAAGCTTCCAGTATCTTCCAAGAACGTGTCCCGACCTTTTACTGTATTCACACCATGGTCGTCCCTTTCGCTCAGTCACCCGACTTGTGAGAACAGTACCAGTCTCGGGTGAGAGAGATATGCTTTCAGCAAGGTTAGGGTTGAATTGCGAGACACCCATCATCACTTTCTTCCTGTTTTCTTCGCGTCGCACCTCAAAGAACACCTATCTGATGTTCGAGAGAGGTTTGGTTCCAAGTGTGCGTCCTCTTACCTCGTCGAGGTTTTTGTTCAGTCCGAAAAAGAACTTGAAGATTCATCTCTGTTCCACGATGCTTTGAAATCTCCTGGCATCCTCTGGGGAGCTCCAAGCATGTTTCTCAAAAACATCAAGTTGCTGCCATTTTCGAGTAAGAAAATTGTAACATTGAGCTACCGTTTTTTCTCTTTGGCGCAAGTCGTGGAGGCTTGCTTTGATTTCGAAGATGGCGGAAGTGTTATCGCGAGTAGAGTAGAACTCACGAGCTGCGACCCAGATATCGTGCACAGTCTCATAAAGGAGAAATTTTTTGCCAATCTCAGTGGTCATTGAATTCACCAACCAAGACATAACAAGATTGTTCTCAACTTTCTATATCCGAGAATTTGGGTCGTTCGCGAGAGGAGGTGAGAGCTCTCCAGTGAAGTATTCATCTCGACTTTTCCCTCAGATGAACATCAACACCGAGGACGACCATTGAAGATAGTTACTGCCATTTAGTCGATGGCCAGTAATGAAAGATGGAGCCTGATCAGCAAGAGCATGGCTGTCAGGCACCGGAAGGTGAGAGCCCAAAAGAACTTCGGGTGGGGAAGGGGTCTGCTCATCCATTGCCTATTGAATGCAAGAGGAGTGCTGAAAAATTTGGATCAGGCGTACTCTGATACCATGAAGAATTTGAGAATAAGAAATAACTCCCTTTTTTACTCTTATTTTATTCATCGATGATCAGCAACATTTTATAGACAAAAGTAGGAAAAAGACAAAAAACTAACAAGCTTCCCTAGTGGAAGGGAAAAAGGGTACAACCTGTCAGTAACCATTTTGTTGTATTGCCAGGTTGTAAAAAAACAGAAAAAAGAAAATACTGAAAGTAATTCTACATAATTATTGATGCATAACTAATGAAGGACTAGAAGAGTTTTGAAAATTATTACATTAGGAATAGAAAGATTTAATTTTCCTTTTTAACTTTTCTTTTTTTTGAAATAAAAATATAAAAAAGTATTATTCACAATGGTATCAAAGAAGTACCGCTTGTATACAAAAATATTTACAAATTAATTAGATGATCAATGAAATTTCCAAAATCATTCAACCTATTAATGTCATGACCCAAGAGAATAAAACTAAAAACATAGAACCATCTCTTTCTAATATTACCCATTTCCCTCTCAATATCCTCAAAAGCTCTAGCATTTCTCCTTCCAAACAACTCAAAAGATAGATAAAAGTATTAAAAGTAAATAGGACTTCTTTTTACACAAAACCTCCCAAGCACACAACTCTTCCCTGAAAGATCCCGCTATAACCCAATAGATTATACACCATTGACCAAATATTATAAACCATAGGGCACCAAAGAAGAATCTGGTAACAAGATTCTACCAGTCTTTTACATAAGAAGCACCTCTTTACTGTGGTTATACCCCTCAGCATCAGCTTATCAATCTCAAGATACAATTCTTACTCGCTTCCCAAGCAAAAAAAAGCAACTCTTGCGGGGGTCTTTATCTTCCAAATCTGTTTTGCCGAAAAATAAACTTTCTCGTTTCCTTCCCTTCTTGTAAGTGCCTATAGAAAGTCTTTTTTCTTTTCTTTTGAGATAAAAGGTGTGAAATATTATGAACAAGGTACCAAATGGGCCTATAGAAAGTCTTTACAGAGAATATTCTTTTTCTACTCATTTGCCACATCAGCTGATCATTGTAATTCCCTAAATAGATCTTTGATAGCATAAGAAGCAAATTTTTGTATTCATCAACCTTCAAATCATTCAAATTTCTAGTAACATTCACGGACCACTCCCTCGTACAAGTCACACCTGAATAAGCATCCTCCACCACCATGTTTCTAGAAGTAGCGATGGCGAATATGTTCGGGAATTGATCTTCTGACCTACCAATACCAACACATTCATCCTTCCAAAACCGAATGTTGTCATCCCTCCCCACTTTCCATATGCAATCAAAATTTTTTTAGCTCCCCATACTAATTTTTTTCCCGAAGCTCATACCATGTGGTCTATTCACACTTCTAAGTTCCCCCTCCACGTCCCCCTTACCCCTCCTGACCTCCAACACTCTTTTCCCACAATCTCTCCACCTCTCTAGTAAATCTCCACAACTATTTTCCCTGAAGAGCTATGTTCATCTCAATAATTGACCTCAAACTAAGACCCCTTCGTGCAAAGACTTCTTCACATTTTCCTATTTCACAAGGTGGAACTTTTCTATTACCTTCATCATCCCCTTAGAGAAATCGGCGTTGGATATTCTTCAACTTCCTTGCAATCTTGACGAGCACAATCAAGACAAAAAGATAGTATATAGGAAGGTTGGATAAAGTGCTTTTAATCAATGTTAATCTATCATCCTTCGATAAGTAGTTTCTCTTCCATCCCGCAAGTCTTCTCTCAAACATCTCTAACAGGATCCCAAGTCTTTGAATCTTTGTATCTAGCTCCAAAGGGAATCCCAAGGTACTTTATAGGAAGTTGTACTACTTTGCAACCCAACACCACACAAGATTCTTCTCATCTCTCTTGTTACTGAGCTTCATCAATTTAGATTTATTTAAATTAATCTTCAACTTGAAACCACCTGAAAATATAACAGAATGGATTGGAGATGGAGCATCATATTTATGTCCAGTTTGCACAAAATGAGGGAATCATTAGCAAAAAACAAATGAGAAACCTCCACCCTCCAATCAAGTTCACCTCCCTAGCTCTCTTCAGCATTCTACTAAATGTTTCCATAACAATAATAAATAAAAGTGGAGAAAGAAGATCACTCTAGTGAAGATCTCTAGTTGCCTTGAAAAAAGAAGAAGGCCCCCCATTGATCATCACAACAAAGAAAGAAGTAGTTATGCATCTCATCACCCGTCTCCTCCACTTAATCCCGAAACCGAGCCTCCTCATCATATACTCCACAAACTCCCAATTTATATGATCATACCCCTTCTCCATATCTAATTTATACATAATAGTTTTTCCATTATGCATTTTATTTTGTTTTTTCTATTTAGTAGACTTTCTACATTGATTTAAGAATTCATATTTTTATCATATTTTTAGTACCTATAAATAGGTTACCCTACCTTAGTTATTGGATAAACTATTCGTATGATTATTATATAAACATTAAGTAATTAGTTTGATCATTGAGATCCAACATCTCCAGTTTTGGTTCTTAGTAAATTTATTTTATGTATTATATTCAAGCTTTCTTTATTCTACGTCAATTAGTATTACAGCCTAACTTTGATGCATCGCATAACCATAATTTTTTGTCCAAAGTTCAAAACCTACTACTAAAACACAATAGCCTCACAAACCCTAAACACTTGAAGTTGTAGGATGAAACACAAAAGACAGAGACTATTAGCCACAAGTATTAACCGGCCACCTTGGAAGGTGGGTGACAATGCCAAGCCTTTCAAGAGCAGGTGGAGACAACGGGCACATAACATACTAGAAACCACCACATTGACTTCTTAGCCCATAACATCCTAGAAACCACCACATTCACTGGTTAGGCCCAGGATCATCACTGCCTCATTCGAAATCAACTTTCCCAGCCATGTTGACAATGACTAATCTCTTAGCCAAAATCTACATCATCATACCAACCTATAGCCGAAAACCCAACAACCAACGATCACTAAGAGGGCGTAAATGGCTCTCACATGCCTGAAGTTAAGAGTGCAATCCTATGTGAGCCATTTTTGGAGCCAGTTCATCTCCCTGACTCAGCCATTTCTAGAGCCAAGCCACCTACGTGCTAAGATTAGGTGAAAGATTGTTCTAAATAATGTGGATTAAAAACTTGCAATTGACAGTGCATTGTAAAACTACATAATTTCATGTAGGTCATTACGTCAGGATTTGTATCTCTATGGATCTTGAACGATATCCTAAAAAATATGCACATAAATAATATGTCTGAGCATTTGGCCCTTTCCCTGTCATTCAATCTATTGGATCTGATGCACACTTGCTTTATTGCCTAATATGAAATTAGTCATGTTCTCAATGTGAAAGATTTTTAACACTTTGTTGAGGCACTTTTTAGCCTCTTTCTTTGTTTCAGGTATTCCTACAAGAAACTTGCCTAATTTTCCTTTATTATCCCAACAAAAAGAAGATACTGAAACTACTCTTATTTGTTTAATTCTCCTAATGATGGTGCTCGTTATTATCTAGTTAACTGGGATGGACCTCCGGATTCTGACCCTTCTTTGATTTCAGAAGACCAATTTCATAATCTTGATACAAATTTTTTGAAGTAGCATCTTAAATCTATGTGGCTCAAGTCGAACTTTCTTAGCAGAGGATGATGATGCAAAACCAATAAAGGAAAAGAAACCTTTTTCCATGTTTCTATGTTAAAGGAACACAATATTTAATTTTCCTTTGTAGTTCTTTTTTATTATAGCATTTTACATAATTAATTTTTCCTATTTAGTAGATTCCTTGAATTGAGTTAAGAATTCCTATTAATATTATATTCTAGTTCTCATAAATAAGCTATCCTAACTTAATCACTGGGTAGACTTCGTATTTTATTATACAAATATTAAGTAACTGATTTGATCATATGAGATCCGAGCTCTCAAATTTTGCTTCTTGATAAATTTTCTCTAAGCATTATGTTCAAATTCTCTTTTCTCCTATGTCAATCATTTTTTCATACTCACAATCGGCATATTAGCATAAATGTTTAGAAACTACCAGTTTTTTTTTAACCAAATTCATCTTAAATCAAGAAGTATTCTTCACTCACCAAAAAATTTGCAGTGGTAACACTATACTCATACTTCCCAGCTCTCTTTGACCAGACAATGAGAATAGCTTGTGAACTTGTAAGAACAGTCAATGCAAGTGTCACAATTGTCCTAAACAATTGACAATATGGTATGAGAAAACAACAAAGAATAAACAAGTTCAGGCCTTTTCTTCTTATCGAGTTGATAAATAATGGTAGCCAAAGAAAAGATTGGAAAGAAGCTCACTTCCGTTTCCACTTGGACCGTTCACTTGTACCCCCCACCAGTGTCACATTACTAGCAGAAACTGCAAAGTAGCAGCAATCATACAGACAAATCCATGATTACCGCAGAACATAACAGCAGATTAGCCAAAAGGGAGTACATCAAGCACCAAGTTAATTGTATCATCAAAATTTAAAAAAGAAAATTTTGTAAATAATACCAGCTGAATGGGATTTGCCTCTTAAGCTCTCTATATCATGACCAACTGTTGCCTCATCTTTATCCTACAAATCACCAGACATTCACAATAAATTAGAATTCAAGATTGGAGATCAAAGCCCAAAATA